TGGCCACTGGGCGAGGCGGCGGGGGGGGCGGGGGGGTCACTAAGAGGAAAGGATGTCACCCTTGTAACCCCACTGCCAACAGACCACAGGACTCTCCTCTCCTGGCCTACTGCAGTGGATCTTGGCTGGTAGGGGGTGGGGCTCTGACACCTACAGATGACCCCTAGGGTTAGAAAACAAAAGAACAGGAGCTGGTCAAGGTGCGTGCAAGAGGCAGGAAGTCACTGACTACTGAGAGCCCTTTAAACGCTTTAGTTTTGGGTTTCCTGCAGGAGGAGGAGTTTCCTGCATCTCTCTAGTCAACCATCCTGGAAGACGACTTGGGAAAAGGGCCTTTCTGCATACTGTTGCCACAAGATTGGAAGCGCACAATTGTGTAAAATGTCTTTCCCGGGGCCGACATGGCAGCATACCTGTGGTTGAAGGACCAGTGACTCCATAAATTGATTGGACCCTACCCCCCCTTCTTGTTTTTTGTCCCAAGATCCACAGGACCAGGCAGGTATACATGGATATCTTGCTCCTACCATGACCCTGACAGGGTCTGGCCATCCAGCACCGACTCCCCTGGAAGTGCACAATTGTGTAAAATGTCTTTGTATGTTGTTGGAACTCAATTTGGAAGTGTGTACACATACTTCTGGCCATAGAGTGTATATGCAAGAACTATGCGAGGGGAAGCAATCAAGCTTTCCCTTTCATAGGAACGATTTGAAGTCACCACAACCATAGCAGGGACCTGACACCAGGGTGATGCCACCTTCATCCTCGACCTTTGAAATACACTCATTACATGACCTTGTCAAACCTTCAGCCGACATCCAGCAGCATCTAGACATCTGGAACCAATAGCCTGATATATAATATCGTGATATTTCTCACAAAACAATAAAAAAAAAAACAGACCCTCAGTTTATAAAATACTGTGAAAACTTTATTGTTTAAAGTTTCAACATAACTTGCAAGTTCTTTTTGATTCCTCTACATTGGAAGGAGTTACATTAGGACCATTTTCTATAGGTTGTCAAACAATTGTCACATATCAGCACTATTCTTACATTCGTGTCCTGTACATTTGTTTAGGGAATGTCCTGCAATGTGACTGTACAAAACCGGCGGCATACACAGAAAGTACAATACAAAATCAGAGGGAAATTACACAAAGAAAGTTACGTTACATTTTGTAGTGAACAGATTACAAGTGGTGTTTGGAAAGAAGTCAGAAGCCGGCTTTAGGAGTTGCAAAGATGGAGTTTCAGAAGGCAGCTCCTCCTTACATCAGCATGTCCTTTCTATAGGGTGTATTACATGCAGAGAGTTTACCCTCCACACTGGGGTACAAAGGCTTGGCGGGCAAATGGGACACCAAATCTGTCCAACACCCGATATGCCTCCACTCCTGATCAGCTGACATCAAGCACTTATTCCTCTGCTCACAGCCCTCCATTAGATGGCCTGCGATCCAGAAGATTCTTCACAGAAGTGTATGACATACACGAGCAGCAGGCAAGGGTTTGCTTTGGTGCGGGACATTTGGAATAGCAAAGTATGGACGGAAGTCTTGGCTTCGTCGTGGATCCATGTATAGAACATTTTTCATTGACAGTCTCTTTTACAATCCTATTTAGCATTCAGGTTCACTGGTTCAGCATCCACCAAAGCTCACTATTTCCTTGTAGAAGTTTCCTCCATGAGATAGTTTTCTCTCATATTCCAAAAGCTTTGTTATATGGGACCTCCTAAACTGGACCTGCCATCTCTGACTGTGGTGGTGGTGGGAAGGTATTGTGCGTCAGGTCAGACAGGAATGCTCTTCGTACAGAAGGGAAAGCTAGTACTAAAGACACAAGGAGCCGAGGTGCGTAGGAAGTGCCTATGCTCTGTCCCATGGCCATAAATCAGTGCCGATCTAAAGCCAAGACGTTCGCAGGGCAAACAGCTCTGCAAACATGTTAGAAATACACCCCAGGAAGTCAGTCTAATGGCAGATTCTGTCTCTAGTGAATTCAGTTTTCCATGCAGTGCTTGCACTTGCCTCCTGAAACCATCCATACATACTCTTAGATGTTAAAAAGAAGATCAGTCTACTCTGTACTTCTTTATGTGAGATTTCCTTCTGAAACATACCATTTACCTCAGCACAGTGCATTTTAAGAATTGGTGCTTTAGCCTGCAATCAAAGTCACCTTGGCTCAAAGAGGACACAAAATAATATTGACCAGCAAGCTGCATTCTTAGGACTAAGGCTCCAGCCAACAAAATGGCTGCCATGACCAAGCTGAGGTAACAGGTACATGGAAAGGACCAGTAAGCCCATGTTGCCGTATATAAAAGAGCAACTAAAACCATACGTACGCATCAGAATTGTGTACTACACACAACTGTCGTTCTGTCAATGAAATCCATTCAGAGACCACGGTCTGTACTCAGTACTCCATGGCCGATACCATAAAACTAGTCCACAAATCAGCTGTACAGGACATTGTACAAAGCGTGAACTGTCAAGGTAAAGGACATACTTTTATATATATAATATATTGACTAGAATATCAATTACAAATCATTTCTCAGTTTATTGATGTAATAGAGCCAAGTCGTTCGCCTGGTCAGGTCTTTACCAGAATCTGGCAACCCAATGGAGAGATCTTCCCCAAACCTGGTGCAGCTATGGCAGGCCAACGCAGGCTTTTTAACCAAGGTAGTGTGTTCACCAGCCAGAGTTCTCCATATATTCCTATTGAAAAATAAATTAGCACCCTATAGGAGGGCACATATAAAATGGATAGGATTGTCTTAAGCTGCTGACACCATTGGCTCGGCTAAAAGCGTTGATCAGTCTGTCAAAAATCACACGGTACATGGTGGTTCATCTCTCTGCTGGGATCCCAGGCAGCAGTAAAGACCCCCCAAACCCCATGCCATCTAATATGGAACATCCCAATTTTCAGTTGCTCTTTCATCTTGGCTTGGTTTATACAAATTGGCTCCGATTCCACCGTTACTGGTCCTGCTATAGAAAAATATATACAAAGCAGAAAAACAAAAAATTACCAAAATAAGTCGTTAATTTACATTAAATTTTCTACATTTTTCTTTTTACAAACTAATAGGGCTGCAACCCAAAAAATTAGCACCACTGTGATCAGCAAAGCTTCTGCCTGGGGAGACGTTCAACAACTGTACATACAAAAAACTCAATGAAGCCAGTAATGAGGAAATAAATACTGTACGAGGTACGTGGCCTGTCATCTTCTAAACAGTACACGATCGCCGTTTGTCTACTGCGGAACCGAACGTGTAAAGTGCTTTAAAATGACAGGACACGGGCAATCCATGCTACCACCTCCATGGCAGAAAGTGGCCAGAGTGCCGGAAATCTAGACTCTGTCCGAGATGAGAAGTATGAGGGGCTTATATATTAAATCCGTGCAAAGAACATTATACTCAGTGCTTTCAATTAATGTAGTCTGAATACTGAAAAAGGATTTCTGAGTGGCTGATATGACTAGCAACATAATGGATTTTACCTGAGCATTCCAAAAAGTATCAGATTGGTTCCTGTGGGGTATTGCACATTGAACTTTGCCTTATTGAACAACCCAAAAAGTTTGGAGGACAGTAAGGCTAAAAGGGGTCTACTTATAAAACGTTGACAGAGCATCCATCTCTGTGATCAAGTCACTCCACATTATGGCCACTAGATGGAGCCAATGAGCCCATGAAATTCCCATGCTCCCCGGCTCCATCTAGTGGCCATAGAATGCTGCGACTCTCATTCACAGAGATGGTCGCTCTGTGAATGTTTTTTCAATAGAACCCTTTAGCCTCAAATTTTAGGCTCTTTCAATAAGGCAAAGTTCAATGTGCAATACCCCCACAGCAACCAGATACTATCCTCCACCGATTTCAGAATGGTCAGGTAAAATCCGGTTGCCGGCTCTGTGCTGCCTTTTGCACTGAATTACAAAATAAGCCCGACCATGCGCTAAACGAAAAAAGAAACTAAACACGTTAAGCATCTAATCCATTCCCCTTCCTTAGACGGTATAAAATATTTTGCAGACAGGCGAGCTTTAAGCTCTTAGTATTTACAATAGCTATTAATAGCCCCTCTATAACCGATATCATTTCCGACTGGAAAAGGTGCTGGCTGTCAGCGAGGATGAAATGCGTGGATCCGGCAGGAGTTCAGGTCAATGTTCTCCGTTGCTCACAGAGATGGCCTCAGTTTCCACCGTTGTGGGGATTCTTGGCACTTTCTTAGCAGGACTTGGGAAGTGCTGTGGAACAAAAGTAAACTTGTAAGTTTGCACAAAGACAGCAAGTGACAGTAAGGACTGACGGCTAAAGCATACTGTATGCCCCAACTAGAAAGGCCTGAAGAACCTCTGACTGCAAATATAACTACATACAGGAAAACAGCATTAGCAGGTAACAAAAAGATTTAAACTGGGAGAAGCACTGATGACCCCTATAAGGTTCTCAGAGGACAGCAGGAGCAAGGAGAAATGGTTTTAAAATGTTCTTGCTCTTCAGTAAGCTCTCTTTAGTGTCTGTAGCATCTTCATTCTATGAGAGTGTACATCCAATCTGATGACAGCTGCTCCGCTATAACAAGGGAGAATGTCAATTTAAACAAACCAGAAGTGTCTGATTCTAGAAGCCCGTCCTGGCCATTTTGGAGCCAGCCATGTGTTTAGTAGGCTGTATATGTTAAATGCATGTAGGTTGTGTGCCACCAACACACAGAGAGCCTTGTGATATAAGGAGCAGTTACTGTGTAGACCAGGCATCCTTTTTAAAGGAAACCTGGGACTGAGAAACTGAAAATGTTAGGTTCCTGGCCACCGCTGGTTTCTATACCAGGAAGCAGAGTCCTGATATGCACGCTTGTTCCAGTTGAGTGACTCGAGTGTTGATGGTACTGGCTCAGGGTGACAGTCAACCAGCATTTTCAGAAGGAGACGTCAGCATTGGCAGCCTCCTTATTCCCTCCACACAAGTTCCTTTAAACAACCTCCATTTACACAAGTTATATAGGACCTAAATCATACAGCCATCGAATGCTGGAGAAAGGGGGAAATTCTTCTGATCGCTACACAAAAAGCGTGATCTACTGCGTCTTTGAAATATACAGCTACAGAAAACAAATCAGGGTATCTGACAATTATATGGAGATGGTTTGAACAATTGCACTTCAAGCATTCCCAAAATATTATATATATAAACAACCTCCATTTACACAAGTTATATAGGACCTAAATCATACAGCCATCGAATGCTGGAGAAAGGGGGAAATTCTTCTGATCGCTACACAAAAAGCGTGATCTACTGCGTCTTTGAAATATACAGCTACAGAAAACAAATCAGGGTATCTGACAATTATATGGAGATGGTTTGAACAATTGCACTTCAAGCATTCCCAAAATATATATATATATATATAATTACAGCCAGCGTCCCTTACCTCGCTAGCACTGGTTGAATGGACAGATTCCAGTGCTGCTTCCAGGGGTCCGTCGTTCAGTATAGAGGTACGTGCATAATACCTCCTGTGCTTCTCGTCCACCCGCACCAAGTACCATGTACCTGCAAACAGGTCATCCACCGAGCCCTGAGGTATGTAATTTGCTGCAAAGGCAATAGATATGGCAATAGGTTCAGCACAGGGGTGAAATGGGGAAGCAGCATTCCTACAAAGCAGCATCTAAGCAGTGTACATTGACTTGCTTTCGGTTCTACCTTGTTCCTAGCCGAACACAGATTTTGTAGCATAGTATAGTGACACGGGGAATAGACAATTCTTCTAATTGCCTGACAAGATGAAGGTTTAAATTACATTTAAAAGAGGTTTTCCGCTATGAAGAAAAGAGAAGCAGCCACCCGTTTTCTCCATCTCTAGCCCAGCCAAGCAAATAAGATCCTATTAATACTCAGTAATGTACCTCGCCTTCAGAAGGCCACGGGTACTATAGAGTATTGTGTAACACAAGCACAGCCTGCCCTGAGAAATGCACTGGGAAGCAACTCAAAAGAGGCAATCAGCTGCCAGCACTGAGACTTGTGCCAATAGGTGGCTCTGCAAAAACCGGACTTTTTTCTTACTGAAAAGTGCAAACAAACAAACCACTGTCAGCACAGTTATAGAAAAGTTGTGCTAAACTGGTGCAAGTGTGATCACGCCTCAAAACCAAATGTGAGGGACAGATCCTCATCATCAACAACTGACGGGACTGCTGCTATCCTAAAAGCAGCCCATAGACTTAGAACAGTTGGATTGTACCTGTTCTAAGGCCATAACCTTTTAAAGCAAGTGGTGGGGGTGGGGAGCAGAGCGAATGGTCGTCAGTGGTAGGGATCATCAGTGATCACAACAAATCTCTATTCAGTCTGATCCCTCATCCTCTCTGACAAGGACTACCAACATCCAGGAGAACCCACACACAGGAGGTTTTCACCCACATGTAGGCACATTGGGCTGCGGTCATCTCTTATCCATGGATAACAATATTGGATCCAAATTTCCTTTGTAATCTACCTCTATCTCATTTTTTAAACATTTTTATTATGCAACAGTGTGTGTCTCCTTCCAAGATTAAGTTCTGGAAAACATGGCAGACCCATACCTAAATGGTGAGTCTCTTCCCTTAGCTTCATGTTGTCAGCAAACATGTTGGGGGAGACATTCCTCCTCGAGTCCAGTCTTGCTTTCAGATCCGACAGGCTGGATGTCAGTCTGTCCAGAGAGGAGCCTGGGGGAGATGAACAAAACACAATTCAGTTTAGCTGAAGGAAGACTTTATTTTTGCTTATTTTCCTGCAATATAACGGTACACAAGACCTTCACTATGAACATCATTATGTATTATGCTGAAGGATAGGCGTAAATTTAGTACTGTGAAGTTCTCCTTGTGACCTCCTTCTCGCCCTGCACTTTTCTATCAATATGATGCAAAAAAATACAGTACATAAAACCTTCACCAACAACTTTATTATGTATGTATTTACATGTCTGAAAGTGAATGACACAGCCCAAGAGTACATTTTGTGCTATGAAGTTTCTCCTCTCACTACACTTTGTTGTTGTATATTAAAATGTCCATAGACAAACACTATTTATCTGGCAATCATTTAAAGTCTATGTGGTGCCAAGACTAATTAGTAGGGCTGTTACTGATTAAAATTTTCGTATTCGATTATAACGCACATACAGATCCAACTACATTGGCCTATACACAGAGCACAGCAATGGAGTAATAAAATGAACTAGGATCACACTAATCCAGCACGTTATTAATCTCACGTGCCCCACTCAATATGGCCGCCGCTTGAGTGGGGCAACTAGGAATAATAACGTGCTGGATTAGTGTGATCCTAGTTCATTTTATTACTTCATTGCTGTGCTGTATGTGTATAGGCCAATGCCTTGGCTGGCGCTCGTCAGAAAGTTTCTTGGGCAAACTCACCGGCCCAAGTGGCTCCGTCGGCTAATGAAAGGAAGGGGGGGAGGAGTCCGGTGACGTCACGGACATAGATGTCACCGGACTCCTCCCCCCTTCTCTTCGTTAGCCGACGGATCTCCGGCGGGACTCCCGGAAGCCGGCGGAGAGGTGAGTGTTTTCATTAGCGATCAAAATAAAATTTTAATCGATCAAAAAGTTTAACGATTAAATCGAGAAATGAATCGTTAATTTCTGCAGCCCCACTAATTAGGACAGCAGCAAATTGACAGCTTAGAAATGATTATGCCGGAGTCACAGCAAATCAGCCTTAATACAAGGATAAAAAAAAAAAAAAAAAAAAAGCAGCTAATGGGAGACATCAGGAGACATTTACAGTTCCAAAGGAAGTCTATGTCCTTATGCAAAATACTACCCCTCAGTGCAATCACCGGGACAGGAAATGAGGAATCACAACAGCCATACACACACTTTCCTTTTTGCTTTGGTAGAATGGGGCTGCATTTTATTGCTGTATTCCTGTTGGAGATTTTTCCTCACTTCCCATCACAGTGACACAATCATCACAGAAACAGAAAGCAGAGAAAAGTCTCTTCTACAGAGCCACAGACAGCAACACTAAACAAGGTCTGAACCCTTCCCAACACCATCTGATATTAAAAAGTAAGGCTGTGGCTGGAGTAACATTATGAACACACAGAGTTTGGAGATGTTCTCTTTTATAGTGTATCAAACATTGAATTCACAAACATAAAAAAATAAAAAGTTCTCAGCACAAAAGCTGAATTTCTTACCAGGCGTGGCATCTTGAGTAACTCTTATAGAGTACAATGTAGCAGCAAAGCCAGAGCCATATGAGAAGACTCCAATCCTCTGTCCGGCCAGCTCTTGGGGAGAATATCTGGAACAAAATAGCAGAAGGTGAGACTCAGCAACAAAACATTGTGTGATCATCATCATCATCATCATCAAGAGAAGCAGACACAGTACTCACTGAGCGATCACGGAGGCCAGGCAGCCATACACAGAAGGTGTGTACATGTTCCCGTTCTCCCGAGATACCAGCAGCGATGCCTTTGTCTTCTGATTGAACAGCTCTGAGCTGGCCTTCAGAAAAGCCTTTTCCACATCTCTGTCAAAGTATGTGTCCTCCAGCTTTACATCCCTGCCAGAAGACAGAATATATAGATTAGACATCGCCAGTTTAAAAACAAACTTGCATACCTTAGCTATTTCACGCTATATAGCCCACTGCCCTTTACCCCAATAGATGAAGAAATGTTGGGTTGTGCCATCATGTTGGCAGTTCTGGGCTCCCTCCTCCTCCCGATATCTGGGCTCAGCCGCAATGGTGCGGCACTTTGTCTAAGCCAAAGGTTGACACTGCAGCAAAGCCAGCGTCACCTCAGTTGGCTGTGTGCACACTGGCAACTGAACGGAGCCTGGAGCTGCTGGGAGGTAAATATTGTTCAACTTTACAGAGCAGCTTAATAAGCAAGGAACAGAAGGCTTGGATTTCAGCAGATTTTCTGAATCAGAATCATTCAAACCATGGTCGGCCCTGCAAGCAAGCATCACACGGCTCAACAAAAGTTGATTTAAAAATATACTGAGCTGGGTAGAAAATGATCAGCCGAACAGCGAGTGTATATGTGTCAGGTGCAGTCAGTGTCCGGATATTCAAACTGCTGCGGCTGTCTGAATAAAATAGCCAGCAGGGGACAATCCTCTATCCACGCCATTAAGGGTGGATGGAGGAATCGATTGATTTTCTCTTGTGCAGCCTACTGAACGAGAGGAAACTACATTCAGCCCCCAAAAAAAGCGTGGATGGGAGAATCCCCAGCGACCCAACGCCAGGCTATTTTACTCTTCTTGCAGAATAGTCAAATGAACAAAAATGACTTGTCAAATGGGGAGGTACTGGGGGCATTGGGGTCCCAAGGGGGCCACGCACGGCTTGAATTCTGGTCGAGTCACAGGAATTTTCAAGCAGTGTATGGCTAGCTTTCGGTTCTAGTACAGCATTGGGTGGGATGTAAACATGCTCTGGGTTAGAACCCTTCTTAGGTTTGCTTTACAGTAAGGTGCTCCCTCTAGTGGCTGACAGCTGTCAGTGTACAGAATCTGCTCACTGACAGAAGCCAACCGATACTAGAAGGAACAGTGAAATACACCCAAAGTGCCCCTTATTGTGGGCTCTTTAGGTAGAGAGGTAAAGTGAGCTAGAAAGACACCAAAGTTAAAAAAAAAGACAGACATAAGAGACTAGAGAGCTATGTATGCTGCAGCATTTTCAGGTACAGATTAAAAGGTACGATCAATACAGTGCAGGCAGGTAACACCAGTATAGGACCCCATTCCGATTTGTGACTCGTAGGTTTACAGGTAAGTACATCAACATACCAGTTCAGAGAATTGTGCTACACAACTACTTCAAGTCTGGAAAATACCAATAATTTTGTAAAGTGCGGTTTTTGAACACCAATGAGATGTCTATATTTTATTCATATATAACCCAACTTTGTAGGGTTAACATCTTGCTATCTGAAACAAATTACTATGGTTTGCAAAAACACTTCTGCAGCGTACGCAATTACTACAATTGAGCACAGTTGCGCCTTCATAAAACAAAAGGAAAAAAAAAAAAAATCTGCCTATGTCACTGGTGGGTAAATAATATAAAACAAATGTATTTATGCCATCGGGCCAATTATCATCAGAACTACTGGTTCATAGCACATATCCAGCCCAATATTTTACAGCCACCCACTCCTACCTGAACAAATCTGTTTCAGGCTTGCTGGCCATCATCAGTGCAGTATAAGGACACTATAGGAGTCTAGGTAGTAGGTCTTGGGGACCAACAAAATTGTAACCCGTTTGGTTATACTGACAAAATACCGAAAAAAAAAAAAAATGTACTAGCTGTAGCACCTCAAACTGGTCCCTGGAGTGCAAAGGGTGTAACCTACTACTGCGCCATGTTCGTCTCTACAATAAATCATATATTAATGAACGCTTACCGGAAGGAGTCCAAGTCTGTATAAGTGCCGCTCTGCGTGTCTGGGTTGGAATCACTAATGAAATCATTGAGCAACAAGCGTGCAAGAGACTTCTGGACCAGCTTGCAGTATGGAGAGTGAAAGATCATGAAGCCAAAATCTTCCAGGGTGAAAGGTTTGTCGGTCTCCTCTGAGAAATAAGAATATTATATCAGTGTCTGGAATGACTAGAAGATGGAAGGTATGGAATCTCTGGCAGGACACAATAATGACATACAACACACCAACCTTTCTGCTCCTGTGCTTTGATCTTCCTGCGGTAGGTGGAATAGCAGCGGTCCAGCGCACTCAGGTAGCACTCGATGGATAATTTCCCATCCACGACAGGATACTCTGACACCATGTCAGGCTTGTAGAAGTCGTAGGCATGCTGCATGTGTGTTCCACGTAGGCCTATTAGAGTATGGAAGAAAAAGGAAGCCATTATGAAGGCTGACTGTGCAATAAGTCTTGATGACCTTTTACCTATTAGAATAGCAGCAACGTTATCACATATTAAACCCAGGAGAAAACAAAAAGTGTTGAAATACAAGAGAGACGCTACAGAGCATCAGCTAGCTGTACTGCTTCCCCTATGCCATTCCGGAGACACTGAATACTGAGTGCGTACATGAAATATTATTAAAGGGTATTATTGATTTCAAGCAAGCACTGATACTCATTAACACAACGCCTCAGGAAGTCCGCTGTACAAAACGTATATACACTATGCTCCTGATTTAAAGGGCTCGAGTGGATGGGCAGACGCAGCTTGATTTTAGGGCCATTCAGTATACATTAGTAATCAGTTTAGGACTCTTCTGAGATCATTCACATTTCACGGACAAGTTCATGTGATCTGCAGCCGGCCTCCTCCTAAGCTGCAGCAACCTGCTCTTGGACTCCCATGGGCTTGTATGTAGAGAGAAGCAAACAATCATTCCTGTACAGCTTACTTCTACTGTTTACATGATTTTGTTTTTTTAAATCACAAACCTCTTTCTAAAACGAGAGTGGCATTTGGACCCACAAGCATGGCAACAGCTCCGGCTCCTCCAGTTGGCCTGGCACTTCCTGTGGCGTAAACAGCGATGTCCCCAGCGACCACCAAGGCGTAGCGTCCTGCAGAGAACAGACACTTCCATGAATTACCAATCTTTACCACAAGCTGATCAATCCTACTATGCACGGAATAAAGCTACGAGACTACAGGCAGTCCCCGGGTTACAAAACAAGATAGGGGCTGTAGGTTTGTTCTTAAGTTGGAACAGGTACATGTTTTAGGTGTAAGTCCAGCCAAAAAAACACATTTTTTTAGTTTTGGATAGTACAGGGAAGGGTTAAGCCCCGTAACATTTGTTTTGCTGTCCTCACAGTGGCTCTAATCTCAAATCATACTAACCAAAACTAAAAAAAAAAAAAAAATTGCATGAAGTTCTACTTTAAGGCAACTTGGACAGATGTTTGTACAGCTTCCTGTAATGTACTCCTCGTCTGCACGGCTAACAACTTCCTGTAATGTACAGGAGGTACAGGACTACGAACCAGACCCACTCCCCGTCTGCACGGCTAACAACTTCCTGTAATGTACAGGAGGTACAGGACTACGAACCAGACCCACTCCCCGTCTGCACGTCTAACAAATTCCTGTAATGTGCAGGAGGTACAGGACTACGAACCAGACCCACTCCCCATCTGAACATCCAACAACTTCCTGTAATGTACAGGACTACAAACCAGACCCACTCCCCGTCTGCACGTCTAACAACTCCCTGTAATGTACAGGAGGTACAGGACTACGAACATCGGCGCGAGTACGGTAGCATTACAACTAGTGGAACAGCCCGGGACCTCCGTTCATAAGTACGAGTCGTACATAACTCGGATGCGAAGTAACTCGGGACTGCCTGTACACATATATAGTTACTTTGGCATTTGAAGCCAAAAGTTTATTTTGATCCTTTTGGATTGATTGGGTGCCTTCTGAGGTTTATTTTGCTGTGCTACCAGTAGGGGAATCCCCTCTCTATATAGATCCTGGTGACCACTGTCTCAGACAGAAAGTGACAAGAAAACCAACATTCTAGTTGCCTTCAGAACTAGCGATAAGCTCATTTTCAGTCACAATTTGAGTTTGTTGGAACCTGAAAGTAAGCAGTCAGTGCCGGCCCAACCAGCTGCTGCCAGGGCATTCCCTGACTGTGTGTAAACAAAGGGGCGGGACGATAGTGACATAATTGACCTTATATGACCACATGCCTAGAATAGGTCAATGAGGTCACCAGCCTCCCGCCTTTTTGCCGACAGGAGATTTAACTATTCCCAATTTGATCTCCTACAAGAATGTTGCCTTTAGATATACCTTATGCAATCAAAGCATTGATATATAGTTGTCTTTCTGATCACATGATAAGAATAAAAGTCTATGTGAACTAAGTTTCTCTCGTTTTTTTTTATACATGAGCCTCACTGCAGGGAGTCACTTTTTTGCAGACCCTTACAGCTATAACTGGTCATCCAAAACCAAATCTAATCCTTTGACCCAACAATGGCCATCATCTCCATATGGAGGTGACCAGAACCAAAGTCTGTCAGTGAAGGAGAATTATGTCACTCACCGTCCCAGGAACTTGACTCCACCCAGTTGACGGCATTGAAGAGGGCAGCAGTGCCTCCGTAGCATGCGTTCGTCGTGTCTATGCCTTCTACGTCTGTATTTCCAGACTCTTCAAACAGCTGCATGAGGACAGTTTTGACGGACTTGGACTTGTCAATAATGGTCTCTGTTCCCACTTCCAATCTTCCAATGCAGTCATATGAAAGGGTGTTCCTCTCCATCAGCTTCTGGACCGCAGTGAGACACAGCGAGTTGATGTCTTCTCTGTCTGAGCAGAAGCCCATCTTGGACTGGCCCAAACCGATGGTGTACTTTCCAGCGCCGACCCCATCGAACTTCTCCAGCTCCTCCTGATCAACATACTGAGCTGGGAAGTAAATCTCCAAGGCAACAATACCGACATCCTTAGGCCAGGAGGCTTCGGCGGAGGCAGGAAGGGATCCAGGCATGGTGGTCAAGCTAGAAAGCAAAAGAAGAAAAAAAAAAAGTGTTACATTTAAATGCAGCAAACCAATTCCTGTACTGATACATAAAAGTGGACCTGTCATGTCATCGCTAACCAGCAAAGTACAACCGAAGCCCAAACTTATTTCCCCATTTTGGATAGAGTGGAGAGGGATTAGAACACTTGTCAAGTTTATATTGTTATGGTGTCCCCATTAGGTAGATTCATCGTCTCTATTTGTCCCGGTGACCGCTATCTCCGAAAGGTAAAAGGAAATCCCAATTTTTGGGATGTCATCAGAACAGGAATAGATGGGAACTCTTTCAATGGGGACACCAATTCTGGTGACCCTGCTGACCCCCGGGGATTTCCCTCTCTTTGGAGGGCTTTCCTCTCTTCCTGTTGTGGCTATTGCACCGGAAGTAAAGAAAAATCTCCCCAATGGGACACAGATGGCAAAAAAGGCTGACAGGGGTTATAACCCTCCCTTACTCTATTTAAAACGAGCTGCAGTTCTACTGTAAAGGCTGTGTGAAGGAATAGCAGAGCCACCTAGGGCCTATCTACTGAAAGCCTTGCCATGTTTCTGGTTCTCTCCAGGATCTGGTTCCCTGTCCCGTTCCAAATCATACACAGTGCTGTATAAAACAGATCCTTCAATATCCTCCTATATAAAGTGCCAGGGGCACTTTATATTTCTCTACTGGAAATACCAATGGGGTGCTGACGTGCGAGTGCTTCCTGAAGGTGTAGCAGCAGGTAGTATACTTGGGGCTGTATAAAATGGTGACGGAATCCCCGCAGCATTATAGATTCATAGTAAAAGCAGAACACAACAACACAGAGGTTCAAACTGAATTAACTTTAGGCAAGCTAGCAGCATGTCCGTGTGTTATGTTCACCGAGCCCTCGTCAGGCCTACAGGATTTTTCTATCCCAAATAATATTTTATTGTTAATTCCCAATTAAGTCTTGTGCACATGGCTGGAAATGGTCGGACAGTTTACTAATGGGTGTGGGTGAAGGTCCTTCTCCGGCCCCGAGGGCACGCGACCCGTCTCCGAGGGCACGCAGGACTTAATCATTCTAGATAAAGAGCGGTGACCAAAGGCAAAGCACACAAACACTGCTGGACTCTTGGACTAGCCAAAAGGACACAAATTTAGAAAACAGGAAACGAGTCCACATAACTCAGACATAGTGAAGGCCACAGAGCTGACATTCTATTACACTATGAAGAACAGAGACATCATGTAGCAGTGAGGTCACCATATCATAGCGCAGGGCTCAAAATTTCAAGTCCTGAGCTACTAGCCAGGCCTTAAGAGTTACTCGCCACCAGTTGCCCCACCTAACCCCAACCCTGCCTCGGCCTTAACTCCGCCCCTAAACCCACCCTCTTAAATTATCTTATGAAATTACACTTTTAAATGTTGAAGGCAGAATAAAGTTACAAAAATAAATATTAACAACAACAATATTAAGATAAAGCAATGTAAACATTGCGGCCGTCCACATCCCCACATATAAAATAAATACCCTCCCCCCTGTTCTCTGCCTCCCCCCATATAAAATAATACCCCATCGTTCTCTGCTCCTGGATCGCGTACCTGACTATGAGAGCAGCCGCTCCTTGCTGTCCTGTCCTGGCTCCGTTCCTTTTCGGCCGGAGCTCTGCAGTTCTGAGCTCCGTTCTCTGCAGTAAGGTCTGCAGACCTTACTAATCCATCCTTGCGAACGGGGTTTCAGAACTGTCAGAGCTCCGGTGATCGATCGAAAGTAACGGAGCCAGGACAGGACAGCAAGGAGCGGCTGCTCTCATAGTCAGGTACGCGATTCGTGACCGCGTGCCTGACTGAATTTCCACTCGCCCTCTATTTATTTCCACTCGCCAAATGCGAGCGAGCGAGTGGAAATTTTGAGCCCTGTCATAGCGTGTGCAATGGGTGAACTTTGCATAGTATTGGCCCAGCCAACAAGTGGCCATCTCCAGCTTGTACAGGTGACCAGTCTATAGAGAAGATTAGGGACTTGTTCACACCATGTCTGTTGCTCTGTGTTTGTCCCCGCTCCAGCACACAGGTATGGTGCAAACATTGATTTCTATGTGCTCTGTACACACAATACATGTGGCATGAAGAAACACACAGCACAATGGACATGGTGCGAGTAGCTAATTAAACCTCTAAACCCTTAATTCTCAACTGGTGGGTCGTGAACTAAAACTGGGTCGCGCATGCTTTCCACTTTTCTAGCCGAGAGGCTCCTCAGCCTCCCCCTAGCGCCGCGCTGTAAGTGCTCACACCAAGCAGCCATTCAAAATATGCTGCCCGAGGGGGTGACTTGAGGTGGGGTGGGCCGGGGCTATGGCCGCAAGGGAGCTCCATCCATACATGCATTGCTTACAGCTCCCTCACCTGTCCTGTAGAGGTGACTGGACCGACGTTACATTGTGGCTCCCGACACCTCTACAGGGCAGAGTCCCATCACAGCACAGCAGCCCACACTGGACACCAGGCTGAGGATCCACTCCAGTTCTTATAAGATAGGGAGACTGGGAGGACCTAAAAAAAAAAAAAATTTGGGGGAGTGTGTGTGCGAGATTGTGTCCGTCAGTGTTTTTGAGGGCCCATTCACACCAGTACAGTGCATTCATCGCACATTCCCATGTGAATAATGCACTTTACCATGCAATCACAACTACTGTGCGTTCTGGTGTGGGAGGTGCATTGCCGTTCATTTGAATGGCACCCCAAACGCACCTCCCACCCACAGTTCAATCGCCCGCACCAGAACACGCGGTACCGCAATGCCATGCGCTACATTGCATTGAGACTTGGGTCGCAACTTAATGACCGAGGACAAATGTGGGTCCTGAGGTTATACAGGTTGAGAACCACTGGGCTAAACTACACTTGAAACTAGGGATGTCCCGATACCGATACACATACATATATATATTTTAAAAAGAGGTTGATTTATTTAATATACAAGTGTATGTATTTATTTTAATAATTGAAATGGACAGCGCAAGTGCAGTGTATAGTTCGCGAACTCGACGAGAAGGGCACGCAAGCGCAGTGCATGGTAGTTGAACTGGACAGGAGCCGTGAGAAAAGGGACACAGGCGCAGTGTGGGGGTGTAAGGCTCGGTGAGTGGCAACGCATGCGCGGAAGGTCCTTATGTGTAGCTGACCTACTGGCAGTACCCGGATGCAACGTCAGAGGTTCGCAAGGTCGATGAGTTCTCACTGTCGACAGAACACCGGCGACTGCCCAGGAGGACCTGTGGGCAATCGCAGGCCAGTTAAATTAGGACCCCACCTGGAGCTCCTCCCATCAGACCAGCGCCGACTCGCCGCTGCTCTCCCGCACAGCGCGACCTCACCAGCGAGGCAACTAACAGTGAGTGAGGGCCTGGGGTCCCTCATAAGAACGATTATATTAGCAGGGGAAAATAGTAAATTATTGTCTGCAGTGTGTGCTCTATACGTACTACATATAGAGTACACACTGCAGCAATAGATTTACTATTATCCCCTGCTAATATGAATGGATTAAATGATCCATAGTACATAATAGTACATAACATGTAATTGTAATACTAGGGATCATTTAACCCATTCATGTTAGTTGAGGAAAATTGTAAATCTATTGCTGCAGTGTGTACCGTATATACAGCACACACCTCCACTAAAGGAATAGAGTTACAATTCTCCCCTGCTAACATGAATAGGTTAAATGATCCCAGAGGCACATGCATGATTGGATTTGTAGTTTCACTACAGCTGTGTGAAAGCAAATACAAATGTTTTATTGTTCTAAAACAGTCTTAAGTCAGTCAAAGTTCTTCATAATCATAAAGAAATTGGCCTAAAATCATTAGTCTGCATTGGTTTTTTTAAAATGCCACCTGTCCCTTTAAGAAAAAGTATTGGTAATTGGTATCGGCAAGTACATGAGGTGGGAAGTACTTGGTCTTGAAAAAGTGGTATCGGGACATCCCTACTTGAAACTGTTCATTTCTGCACATTGTTCCTTCACCAGTTCATCTTCAGGCCCTCCAAGGACAAGTATTCCAGTTTTGGGTGGAACAATTATATGGTGACATCATACAGCTCTTGGAACAAAACCAGACTTCTTGACTGCAGTAAAACCAATTATTATGTACACCGCTCTGACTGCAATACTAACATGTCACAGCGTGCTTTGCTCAGTCTCCTAAAGCCAGCAATTATCAGCTTAATTCCCCTAAGTATGAAAACCAGAACATGTGACATGAAAGAGATCGGAGCCGCGACATGAAAGACATCGGAGCCGCGACATGAAACACATCAGACCCGCGACATGAAACACATCAGACCCGCGACATGAAACACATCAGACCCGCGACATGAAACACATCAGACCCGCGACATGAAACACATCAGAACAATAGAAAAATGTCTCCAGCACATCTTAAGTTGAAAAAGCTAAATATTTTATTGCCAATAGCTGTATCTCATTGGCAAAGTGGGAATCCCGGTAAGGAGTGCGGTATGGTTCCTGTTTCTGAAACATATCAGACCCGCGACATGAAACACATCAGACCCCGGCCAAACCAGACATCCAAAGACAAACCTAGGAAACATTCGCCTGACACCTAGGAGGACACACGTGGCAACAATGTGTATTCACCAAGGACAGCGAAGTGCCACCCACCACAACTTGTATGATGATAATATATGTAATGAGTGCTCACTACATGAATTTTCTTTTCATTGTCACCATCTTTTTATTTTTCTCCACCTTCAAATGCAGGACAAGCTGTCCAGTAACAGTGATAGTTAGAGGGCTTGGATCAAACCATATAACACTGGCGGGGGTGCTCAGTTTGTATTCCCAAATTGCAGTAACTGCTGAGAAGTGTTCTCTATTGCTGGACTTTACTTTGTTTACAGGTCATCCCAGATTACTAGATTAGAGACGGTCCTGTCTGCAGGATTACAACACTGCAGTGACTGAACTACAGGGA